CTCAGGGGTCCAAGATTATCTTCTGTGTCTGTATTTATTGGTTTCCCTTTTCTTTGTTGAAGAGGGTCTGTGCAATCCTTCTGCCTAGTCCGCCATCTTTCTCATTCACTTTTGTAGCTACATAGAAGCCCTAATACAGAAACAGTACAGTTTTTTTAGTCATTTACTCAAAGTTTCTTATGATGAACAGGTGACAGTGAGCCTCACGCCCATACGCACCTGGTTCTCTAGGATGTTGTCAGCCACCCTAGCGTCAGCCCCCACCTCACGGTGACCCCACACACAATAGAGGGAGACGCTGCTCGGTCCTGCATCATCCTCATGATCAGTGTGCATCAGACCGTTGTGACCCACAGGAGTTTCACTGGCCAGCTCTCTCTTCCTAGTCTGCTTTTGTCTGGGAATTATACTGAAACCTGTTCAGCATAATAGCAACATGCGTCAGCCACTGACAAGGTGGTTAGCTGCTTATGAGGCCCATTGGCCAGGACTTGAACCCCGGTCTCCAACATTGTTGGGTTATTGTTATGTGCCGTCGAGTCGGACCCGACTCATAGCGACCCATCCTTGGGTTTCTGAGGCGGTATCACTACGGAAATAGATTGCCCCATCTTCCTTCTGAGGAGTGGCTGGTGGGCAAGAATTCTACCACTGAACCACCAATATTCTCTAGGACAGATCCTGAGAAAAATTACTGGATTATAGGATGTGAAAACATTGCAGACATTGCCACATTGACACCCCCCCCCAGCAGTTTAGACAAAATTGGGTTAAAGGGAACTTTCAGATTTTCCTTGGGAGGGAGAGAAGACAGAAGGATGTGGGAGGAAGACGGCAGGTCCAGTCCCTTCCCCAACTCTGTTCCCTTTGTTCCGGAGGGTAAAGGTGTGATCTCAGGGTGTGGGAGGTGAGCCGCAGGACTTCAGCTGCTGCTTCACAGTTGCCAGCCAGGCTCACGTGGGGGTGGAGGTGGAGAGCAGTGTCCAGCATCTGCAGAGTCAGAGCCTGGAGCGTTTGAAGGAATTGCAAGTCCACTGGCTGTAAATCAAAGAGAAGAGACAGAGTGGCCAAGTTTACCTTGTGAGCCGCTGAACTCCCAGAAACTGCCCTGAGATGGTAGCCCCTGTATTTTCATCTCCCACACTCTCGTGGTTCATTGTAACATCCTGTGGAGAGTGGGCTGGTCAAGATCAGGGGTCAGCAGACTATGGGCCGTTTGCCAAATCTGGCCCGCCACCTGTTACTGTCACTAAAGTTTTACTGGAACACAGCTACACCCATTCATTTAGGTATTGTCTGTGGCTGCTTTTACTTACACTACAACAGCTGAGCTGAATAGTTGGAACAGGGGCCTAGAGCCCACCAAGCCTAAAATATTTTCTATCTTTCCCTTTACGGAACAAGCTTGCTGACCCCGGTCTAGATAGTTATCATATAAATTCATAAGCCCATAAAACTTTCCTTTTTATTTATTACACTTGGTTCTACTTAGAACTAGAAACTGAACTACTCAGCAGACCCTTTAGAAACTTGAATACAAACAAATGCATGCTCAGGTATCACAGTCATGGAAAACATGCTGTGTGGATGAGTTAAGCACGGAGTGTGAGTTTAGATGAGATGAATGAATAAGGATTCTCCCAACCTGAGAGTGGGGTTTAAAATTATTTTACTCAATATGAATCTTGCAGCAGTAAAACGATAAAAACCAAACCCGCGGCTATCAAGTCAGTTCTGACTCATAGCGACCCCCATTGAGTTTCCAGCGTGGTAAGTCTTTACAGAAGTGGAGTGCCTCATCTTCCTGCCACAGAGCAGCTGTTGGGTTTAAACGGCTAACCTCCTGGTTAGCATCCAAATAGCTTACCCACTGCACCACCAGAGCTCCTTATATTGATGACAGTATGTTCAAATATTCAAAAAAACAGTTACTTCATGTAAATACTGCAGCATTGTGGAAAAATAACATACATTCAACAAATATCAACTGCCTAATGTGATTGCTGAGTTTCTCAGGCATTGATTGGGTAAGGAATGATGAAATAAATGTAATTACAAGGTGAATTTTACGATTCTTAACACATTTTAGTTAATTTTGCTATGTTGTGCTGTGCGGGTTTTCCAGTTAAGGTGTTATGGTGGTGAATTCAATAATCATCTTACCTGTTTTTTTTTCAGCTCTGTCCTGCCAGGAGGTGACCGAGGATGAGGTCTTGGATGCAAGCTGCTTGTTGGATGTCTTAAGAATGTACAGATGGCAGATCTCTTCATTTGAGGAGCAGGTGAACACAACATTCTGAACAAGTTTAGCTTGGAGAGGACCCTTTCCACTAGTGACATGGGGGCAGGGAGCTTGAACTCACGGTGAAGGCCGAAAAGCAGCTACCATGCTGCTTTTGAAGAACAAATACTGGTATTGACCTTGCCTTTGGCTGGGACTCATTATACATTCCTGTTACATTTTGGGTCACCAAGTTGTTCTGAGACCGGAGCAATAACTTTGTTCTGCTCTCATGATCAGTGGGAAAATATAGCTCTCTCTCATCCAGTGGATAGAAGGTTAAGCAGCCCTGATGGTGCAGTGGTTAAGCACTCAGCTGCTAATCAGGTGGTCAGCAGGTTGAACCTATGAGCTGCTCTGTGAGAGAATGATGTGACATTCTGCTTCCATAAAGATTTGCAGCCTCGGAAGCCCTGTGGCCCATTCTACTCTGTCCTGTAGGGCCACTATGAGTCAAAATCAGTTCCATGGCAACAGGTTGGATGGAATGTTAGCAAAATAGGACATACAGACACGGCTGCAAAAGAGCACAAATCACAGGTGGTGGGGACACCTGGTCCTTTAGAGGTGGTAGGTAGCTTCACCCTGGAGCCTCAGAGGTTTAGGTGAGACCCTTTTTTGGACCATATCCTCATTTTTTAAAGATCAGTGCTTCAGAAGTTGGTTCGTAGTGGCTCCAAACCAGAAGCAGATGTCATAGGCTACCCAGGGTCTTGTTCCCACTGCTCCTAGCCCCCTTTCCGTAACTACAGCATCACTGCCTTCTGTAGAGTTTTGCACCTTCCTCCATCCCAGCTACTGTTGCCAACCCCAACTCTGAGGCAGAGGCTCTGAGAGTGAAGTTCTAGGAGCAGAAGTACTTAGCTGCCATTCCATTCTCCCAGCCATAGGCCCTAGACAGCCCCGTCCAGCTCATTCTGTCTTTGCCTCCCAGGCACTTCACCAGAGAAATCAGAGGCAGCCTGTTAGGTCTCCCAGAACCGGGCCTGAAGTGAGAGGCATTTTAAAGACACTGAAAAGTGAGGTCTGGAAGCCTTATTACCTGCCTTTAATTTTTAAAGTCGCCTTGTACCACTCTGTCCTACTTTAATCCGTACTGTGCGTCTTTATTATCCCTGGGTAGGGCAAACAGTTAATACACTCAACTGCGAACTGAGAGGTTGGCGGTTCAAGTCCACCCTGAGGCATGTTGAAGAAAGGCCTGGTGATCTACTGCTGAAAAGCCAGCCATTGAAACCCTGTGGAGCACAGCTCTGCTCTGACACACACGGGGTGACCATGAGTCGGAGGCCACTCGCACTGTTGGTTCGTGTCTTGATTAGTCTATTGTACTGAAATGTTTTTCCATCTACAAAGTGCTTTTTTAATCCTCTTCTGGTAACTAGACCTCTTCCACTGCATTTTCCAGTTCACTAAACTGAGTGCTTGAAAGTCAGACCTCACGCATGTCAGCTAGCTTTCCTAGGTCCTAGCCATCCAACAAGGGCTCACTTGTGTCTCAGCTGCTCCTTGGGAGTATTTACGGCCCCCTCAGCCCAGCACAGTCACTGAGCCATATATGCTGCAGTGCATACAGCGAGAGGCAAGCAGCCAAGGGAGTCAGCCTGCCCGCTCTCTCTCTGAAGACCTCAGGGCATGTAGCATGGGGCTTTGTCCAGATCTCTTATTAAGGACTTTCACTGTTAGCTACAGTCAGTGTCTGGAGCTAGGTGCTAGTGCTGTGGTGGAATGCATTGGTTAATTGCCTGTATTACACTACTTACCTGATTTAATCCTCTGAACAACGCTCTAAGGAGTTACTACTGTTTTTATCCCAGTTTTACAGATGAGAACACCAGGCTCAGAGAAGTGAAACGACTTGCCCAAAATCACACAGCTGTTTAAGTGGCAGAACCAAGGTGGGAGGCAGTCTGACTCTAAAGCCCCACTCTTAAGCTCCACCATCTTCTACAGTACTGTTCCTTTTCTCAATGCCAAGTAGTTACACAGCTGAGTGTGACAGAGGAGATGACTGTCAGGCTTAGGATTTTTCTCCCTTAGCAGTGAAGGCCCCGGGCCTCCCAGGAAGAGCAGCTCCTCCCCTGGCTCCCTGGCTTATTGGTCAGAGCAGGGCCGTGGCACTGGTGCCTATGGCCAATAACTAACTCTCACCTCTACATCTGTGGGCTTTGTGTCCTCTGAGGCCAAGAGCCTCATCTCAGTAACTACATCTCAGTCACAGTCTTGCTGACTGCAGTGCACAGCCCAGGAGGAGATTCATTTACATATGTGATAAATATTCATTGACACTGCTAAAGGCAGGGGCTGTGGAGGCTGCTGACTGGGGTGGTAGCCTCAGGATGCAACTTGCAGGGTTATGGAGCTTGCCTTTTAGTGGGGGATGGGGAGAGAGACAGGGAACAAGGTCATTTAAGGCAAGCTACTTCCGTAATGATA